AAAGATCACAGCAAGGGAGAGCACCATTAAACAATGGAGAGAATAGAAGGAGCTGGGCAGACAAAGGGGGAAGATGACACCAGGTCCTTTTTTACTGCTTTGGCCTCCTCATGCTTTACAGCCCTTTTAACCAACCCGGGGGAAATCCTGCAGTACCAAGCTGGTCTTGACAAACTCTTGGAGCATGAACACATGACCATTTCTCCCCCCACCCACTCAATCCCCCTGAATTTTGTTCCTGAAAAGGAAAACTCATACTGAATTACAGCCATGAAGAGTGCACATCAAAAGGTTTTGGGGGAAGAATAGATAACTACCAGAAAATTCAGTCTTCATTCCTTCCCAGCAACATGCAGACAGACTGCAATGACAGCTCCAGGCCCATGCGAGCATGTGCATGTCCCAATGCCAGCTTCAAGGCTCTGATATGAAGCCAGTTCAGAACAGGAAGGGTCACAGGGTGGCAGGTGAGAAGCTATACTTCTTATACAAGGGAGCCAGTTCAGAGACCTGACACACGATCTTTGGTTCAGCCATTCCAGTAGGTGATGCCTCCAAGTAGGATAATCATCCTCAAGCTACAAAATATATCAGTAAATGAAGGCTTTGGAAAGTTTAGAGCACTGCAATGGGGTATGGAAGTCAACATCTAATCAGCAATGATTTGCCACTTTGTAGTTGCCATCAGTTCCTTTTGAGACGTAAAAGGACAAGTTTTGGATGAACTTTTATAGCACGAGGACTAGACCAGAAATCCCTAAACTTCAGTTTGAGTTTTTCCCCTTGTGCCTGACTACACTGTACAGTCAATGTACTCTAGCTCCTCCTGTGAAATCCTAGATAAACTTATTCCTATTTTAATGCCAACAGATCACTGACATCCCATCACGTATAGCAGCAGTGGTGGCAACAGGAGAAGCTGCCTTCACTGTGCAGAGCCAGGGCAGGTAAGACTTCTCTTTCCCCGATTCGATTTACACTGGTCAGCATAATCCCCCTAGGTGCTGCTGAAAGAGCGTGCTATGCTTCTGTGCACGAGAAGGAGAAGAACACCAATACTAGATGTGAAAGCAAGAAGATGCCATCATGATACAGCCTAACTACCTGTTTAAAACAAGTCAAGGAACTTCTCTCAGGGTATGAACAAATGAAGCAATTATACTGGTTAAAAAGTGGGTTTGGGAGTCACTGTGGTTCAGTTAAGTCCATCACAACAGTTTCATCTATCCACTGTACCCCGAGGGAAGTGGAAACTAAACCATAATAGTGTAACACCCATGTCATGTGGGGCATATCACTGCAATTTGGTTTCACTTATTGTAGGATAGGTGCAGACAGATGAAATGTTATACAATGAAGCTGCTAATACATGCTCAAGCCACAAGCTCCCTTACCTTAAACAAAAATTGGCCTAATTACTCATCAGCCCATGCCCAGCCATTCCTTCATTGAGCAGATCTTATAATTAAGCTACAGCAGGTAGGAATCCCCTTCCCGCTCACCTGGCAAGATGTCTGAACTTGATTTGAATATTTGGTGGGATGGAGGACCCCCCATTCCTGGCATAAGTAGCTCTGATGGCAACATGCAAATACCTGACCCCTAGCCTTAGTTTGCCTAACTTCAGCTATGAGGCCTTGAATTTCATCAGGATTCAGCCTGAAAGTCATCTGGCTTTCAGAGCCTGGTAAGCATCACAAAACTAAGTTACTGGGGGTCAGGGTGGGGTACCTTGAGGCACATGAACCCCATCGCACGGCTTTTTAGAGTCCCTTTGCAAACTAAAACTCACTTGAAAAGAAGCCCCAATACAGATATCAAGCACAGTGTGACAAGAGCAAGACATTTCTATCTTAATGCTGGCAAGTTACCTATGCTTTAGCTGCTCGATCGGTGCGCTCGAAACAATGCTGCTGTGTTTCAAGCAACTGCTCATATGCTTCATCAGGGAATTCAAATGCAAGGTGATACAGAGCCCGTAGACTGAGAAAAGTAGTGCATTTGTGTCCAAATGGACTGTAAGTACCTCCAGACGTTCCTTGCAAAGCATGGCTGGTCTCCATAGTAACCGCCATTCACTGTAATTTCCCTTGGATTTTGTTTTTTTTTTTTTTTTAAAAGCTCCTTACGGAAGTGCAATTTTTCCTCCATTATTTATGTATCTTTAACTTAGTGGAGACTTTTAGCCCTTCGTAGCGGATAGATTATTCTCCTTTCAGTATCTGCCGTTTCATGTCCACTTGGCGCACACTGCACACAAGTTGCTGGGGGGACGTCCCATATGCCGGGCTGGAATTTTGACAGAAAAATGAGGAACATTTCAGTCCAAACTGCTGAATTGTGTCTCACTTCCAGGATGAAGCTTTGTATGTACCACACCAGCATAATGATTTGCATCTTTAAGGAGTGTCTGTGATGCCGAGGGAGAGCTAAAAGTTACTACACTCAGGTTACGTAAGTGATGTAACATTCCCAAATATTGTAATGGGATCAGAGTATGCCCAACTCCCATTCAAAGGTTTGGAAAGTCACAGTCTTTCATGCTTCTAGAGTACTTTTAACTGTATTCACAAAGGGCCAATTCTGGCACTTTGACTTACATGGACAAGCAGAGGAAGGTACTAAGCACTTTCCAAACATGAAAGCCAAGTACAGACAGTCAAAAGGCCTTAATTGATTCAGTCTTTGCAGGTTCATCTAAGCTGCATAGATTGAACCGATTTGCAAGTGAACAGACATTCACTTCTAATTCCAGAAATGCAGACGCATGCCTGCAGTGGCTCAGGCCAGAAGCTGGGGGGCGCTAGAGCAAGCCCTCCCTTCCCTTCTGCAGCAGCCACAAGGCAGGAGAGAAGCTGCCGGGGGACATGACCAGAGCTGGGTCGGGAAGTAGCTTCAGGCAAAAGAGGGGCAGGAAGGGGGATTAAACTCCCCTGTCTCCCCTCTTGGGCACAGGGACCCCAGTCAGGCTCTGCCCAGCTTTCTGCTCCACTGGCTGCTCAAGCAGCAGGGCCCATGGCCAGAGCTGGCCGGCATGGCTCTGCCATCTGCCCACCTCACCCAGGGCTGTAGAACTGAGCTGGGAGGCCTGCAGGTGCTGCTGATGGGGGGGGGTACAGAGGGGCTGGGCCACGGAGGATGGGCCTTTCCCAACCAGCAATAGATTGGGCTGGGCCCACGGAAGCTGTGCACCCAGATTGCTCCTGGCTCCCCATGCCCAGGCCAGGCTGGGCTACAGGGCCAGGGCCCTTCCCAGCTGGCGGTGGCTTCATGACAGTCTGGACCAGTGCACATGGGAAGCAGCTGGCTGGGCAGCAGCGCAAAGGCGATGTTGCTTTGCAGCCAGACTGGCCTCATGGGACATGCCCACAGCTGCCTGGGTTGGCTTGGAGGTACCAGCAGGCCAGAGCCTGGCAGACTTAGCCTGCTGCAAGGACTCATGTGCCCACAGCCTCACTGCACCCCCTGCATGGTGCCTACCCAGAGAGCGGCAGCGGGGCAAGCAGGTTAACCCTTCCCTGGCTGCTCTCCTGGGACAGACAGCACAAGCAGCCACCAGTAAATGGGGAGAAGCAGGGGGGCCAGTGAGTAGGGATCTGAGGTGCTAGAAGGGCAAGGAGGAGGCAGTGGGCCCAATCCAGGCCAGTGGGGTGGGGACAGGGGTAAAGTGTATATTAAAGTGGCCACCACTCAACACCTTCGGGTAACATGGATCAGAGAGAATCCTGCCCTTGAGAGGCATAACTTTTAGCTGCCTGATGAGTGCTTAAAAGTAGGTTCATGTGTTAATGTGCAGACAATCCAGGTGTTAAGAGCTCCAGGAGCTGCCCCAAATGACTGTGTACCAAGGCCCTAAGTGAAAGATGCCAATTCATTTTTCTGTAATAAAACCTACCGAACTGGCGTGGCTTTATTACTTAGTGTGGCCATCCCGATAAAAATCCTTTATATCACAGTCACATTGTCTCTAACAATGTTGTTCCAGGCTCTGTAGAGCCCAATCCATTTCCGACCGAGCACTCCAATATGTCTATAGAGTCACCACTGAGCACAAACCAAACTAATGTCCTGCCTTGTATTTTTCTACATCTTTCTCATGCAATTCCTGTAAATATAAATGCAATAAAAGAAAGGACGATTATAAAGATCAAGTGTAAAGATAATGGAGGGAAATGAGTTAACAAATAATTTGCTCCCCCTCCTACACACTACAGTCTGTTGTGAGGTTATCACTAGGTTTATTCGCCATGTCTCATATTAAACTATTATAATACCTGGAAAGCCAAAGTTGTCATATTGTTCCTAACAGCGTCCTACAGGCCTATGATTATCCCTACATTCTGGTGTACAACATTGGTCTTAAGACAGCCGATGAATGACACCGGCAAGACTCAATTTCCCTGGCAATGATTCAAGAACAGGGACTGTGAAACAGCTTCAAACAAACATGAGTTATTGGGAGGATATCACACGAGTGCCGGCAAAGTATTCTAGCTTAACGCGTTTAAGTCTCATCAAATTCCAAGAGGCAGGACTCAAATATCTGGTTGTAAAAGAAATCTATGGTATAATAAAACTCTGAGAGACCAATCACATTTAGCTCTGCTGCTCCAGTTTTATACCAGAGTATATCAAAGAAATTAGTGGCTTTAGAGTTACACAAAAGAAGAGCTGCCCCAAAGCAGGGCAGGCCCTTTGGCTGGAGCCTGACCTACCCTCCTGCTGCAAAAGAGGAAGGGTTCTCAAAGAGCCTTTAAAGGCAATTTATGCAATTCAAACAAGATGCCGAATAACAGCAGGCCTCTCTTTAACGAAAGATACTTAAGGGGAGCAACAACCCATTCTGCTCTATGGTATCAGGATATCTCCACCCCAGTGTAGATGGGACACTTCTGAAAGCAGAACTCAGTCTTCATGAGGCTGGTCTGTGCTCTCATTGTATTCAGGGGAGTAGGGGAGCAGGGGGAAAAATGCACCAGAACCTGGCAAGTAAAACCTACCAGAGCTTCAGGTTCGGTCCAAGGACAGGACTACGTCTCTGGATTCTCTGCCTGTTTGTTTGCAGGGCTGACAGGCAACACATAGGCAGCAAACTCTCTGGCCATCTGCAAGCATCCAGAGAAGTCAAATGCACCTCTCCAAGAGCTGTAGTCATCTCTGGAAACACCGCACGGATCAACCAGCTGGAACCATGATGAACGGGCATCTCCGATACAGCTAAATCACCACTCAGGGCTTCTACAGAGATGGTGCAAATCACGCACCGCTCCTTGTTCAACCCTGCCCCTGAACACAACATCTAGGTTTTAATCCCAAAATGCCTGTTAATTAGCACCAGCTGCAGATGTGGTTTGAATTAATGACACCTGGTCATTAAGGCAAGCACAGAGACCCACTGACACTCACTTCATATTAAATGCCGATGGGTCAGAGAATGAGACCTTCCTCCTTGAAAATAGTCATCTGGATTACCACTAAACCCAGAGTCCTAGGAAGAGTGCTTCCAGCAACACTCTGGCTCACTGGCTTCCTCTGTGCACAGAAGAGTCTGTATGCATCTGTTTTAATTTCCCATAACAGCTTTAAAAAAAAAAATGGTTTCAGGTGGGATTTTCCAAAGCTGCCGATGCTGCCTCTGTAATCACAGGGTAAAATTCATTTACTCCAAAATGGGAGGAGAGTGAGATCAATGTAAAGTGCTTTGGGAAAATCCCACCTTTACCTTCTACATAACCCAAGACAATTGCTACAGTTTAGGAGTCCGGCCTTTCAAAGGTCATTCCTGATTCCACCACCCTGACTCACGTGTCGTGGTATTTTCATCTGAAAATAAGCCAATTTTAAATCAGTGGGATAACGGAAGACCCATGAAGTCCTGCTAATTTCAAATGGGCATGCTGAAGCCAAAGTCAGTACACAAGTCAAGACAGCAGGATCTGTTCCTAAATTATAAGACCATAATATAGTTCTCAAAGTTTAAGAGCCTGTGTTCCTCTGTTCTGGACAGGGCCAAGCACACTTTCAACGCCCAGGAAGCCACAAACACAAATTGTTAGATCTGTCTAGATGTAGATCTAGATTTTATATGGCTCTGTCAGATCACAGAGCTAGCTATATACAAGTTTAATGTAGGCAGTATTCAACCTCAGAGAAGGAGAACGTGAATTCTCAATCCATGTCTTCCCCTCTGTTAAACTGCTGTTAAGCCATGTTTCCAAGGAACCTTTTTGCTGGAAATGTGTAAATTCAAACAAAGTTGGAGGGCTCTTCCACAAAATTCAACAGGCACAGCACAAGACCCAGCCAGCACCAGAAGCAGCACAGTTTTACGTCTAAAGCACAGAAATAGAAATGGAAAACCTGTGAGTTCTCAGATACAGTTCTTCGGCAATGCTGAGCATCAACTAACCTTTCCCTGCCTCAGTTTCCCCATCAAGAAAGTGGGAAGAGCCACCACCTCAGGATACCCTGGCTCCAAAATACAGACTGCAATGCAAGTGCAGGCCAATATTCACAAGGGCAATCACCAAGGCAAGCATCTAAACTAGTGCCTAGATTTTCAGAAGTGCTGAGCAGCACCTGCAACTCTCACTGAAGTGACTGTATCAGTTAGTCTGTAAGGTGCACCTCTACCCTGCCTTGTTAAGAAGCTAAGAACAATAAGGGTTCAATCTCCTTTGAGTATGAAGCAGAGGGGGGGCCTTTTCAAGGCAAGCAAGAGTTTGGTCCAAGTAAAGTTAATGGAGGTTGAGCATTAAGTTATTTGCTCCTTTGAAAAATATCTCTCCCTCTGCCTAACTGTAGGACACCCAGATTTGAAGCCTAACGTTAGCCTTGTGTATGTTGTTTTCCTTCTGCTGATGTACCCCACGGTGATTTATTGCCACAGAGTTGGAATCCATGCTGATTCTTCTGTGATTTATTACAACTTGGCCAAGAAGGCCACAAACCTGTCTTTTGTGAAAAATAGCAAACAAGTGTACCACCTGCTTGTACCACACCATCCTACACCGCCCCTGAGACCAAAGGAGTGAGCCACTTGACTGTTTGTTTGGGGGAGCGGGGGTTAAAGCAAAGCAAACCCGGTTTTCAGCAGTCATAACATTACATATTTTCTTCCTGAACATCTTATCTGGCAGCAATGCACCTAAAACCTATTTTAGACATGTGACCAAAGATCTAGGCCTCCTCTACACATGACATTTATGTATGCATTCATCATGACATAAGTGACAAGGGTACTCTACATGCGCACAATTTAAGGAGCCATAAAATGGCAAACCAGCCATAAAAATGTTCTACATTAGATTGAACATGTAGCAGGTCCAGGCTGAGGCTAATAATCAGCTGATTATTGGCCCTGTCCCCAGACCTGCAGGCACCTGGCTTCCCCTGCACTGGCAAGTAGAACAGGCATGATCTCCCATCCCAAAATCACATGACCTACTAAGCACATGTGGCACATGCAATGCTTGATTGTTGAAATCAGGGGATCTGATCCCATGGCACCTTTAAATAAATGTGTGCCAGGGGTTGGGGACAACAATGCATACACAGCTGGTACAAGAACTTGGGGAGAGACATCATATCTCAAGGTAAGCATTCAATGCTGTTGCTTCTCAAAGCAGCACTTTTCAATGGCTCACATGGCAGATAAGTATTTCATGGGCAGCATCAAGTAGATGGAAGAACTGAGTATTATTTCTGCATCAATGGCCCATCTGCCCCTTTGAAGGTGGACTTGAAGACAGCCCACTACTCCAACTTCCACTCCTCTATCTACCCATCCCCAGTTCACCACAAACTAAGGGTATGACCAGGAGGTAGGTCCACATGGACCAGTTGAACCTCAGCACTATGGACCCTGGCAACCCTTCAAACAGACCCAGGTGAGCATTTACTTGGAAGAACTGGATCATGAGGACAATCCCAGAAACAAGACAAATGGTCTCAGATTGCGAGGAGAGAGCCAACAGAGCAGAGGGAGCACTAAGAAAGCCAGGCAAGCATCAGAAAGAGATCGTGCTAGGGCCTCTCTCCAAACCCAAGGGTGCTCCAGTATCTTTGGGGAACTTGGTGAAGAACTGCACATCAAGTATAACCCCCTCCTCAGGGTGCTATCCAGCAGTAATCACCCCAGATCTGGGTTTGACGTTCACTGTGGAAAAATGTGGTTTTTCCCCTTTAAAGGAGAAAAGCACAGATGGGATGGCCAAAGCCCTGCTCCGCTTCACGTTGCTGCTGGGGAACACAAACCTGGTCCTCCCCACCATGCCACAGCCCCAGTCCCAGCCATCGCTGGTGGTGTGGGATGGCGTATGGCAGGGAGATGCACTGAATGCATGTTGGAGGCCATCCCCACTGTGAGTCTGCAAGGGGCAACTGGGGACCCCCTCCGACAGGTCTGCGGGGAGCACAGGGCTGCCAGTGGGGAGGGAGGGGCACCAGCACGGCCGGCAGGGTGGGGGACTGTGGGGTCAGGAGTGAGGGGCACTGTCAGGGACCTCTGACCTTGACTGCAGATCAGGAGCGAGGAACACCGGCGAGGACAGGGGGCTGCGGGTTGGGAGTGAGGGGCAAGAGCATGAGCAAGGGCAGGGCACCAGCATATCAGGGTTGCTCAAAACCACAAAGAAACAGAGGGGACAGCCGCAGCTGGACCCACATCCTGGTGAGCGAAGGGGATAGAGGGAGCTCGATTTAAAAATATATATATCAAATGCCAACATTTATAGGTATTTGGAATTTATTTTATTATAGTGATTGAGGCACTGGAGGCTTCCAAATTTGCTTTAAACTGTAAATATATCAATAAAAACATTGTGTTCAACTGATACCTATATATATCTATATAGATATATCTATATAGATAGAGAGATAGTGATGTTATATTTTAATCATGAAAAAACACAGATTTCGGTGTTTTCAATCAGAGAATTTGGGATTTTTAAATAGAGAAAACCAGAATCCTTAGTAATCACCAAAAATGCTCCTTCATGCTTCGCCCTGGGAAAGAGCCCGGAGTTCAGCTTGTATACCCCTGTGATCATATGCTCTGCCACTTGCGCTTCACTATACCCTATATCCCCCAGCAAAATCCATCCTCCCCTGTTCCTCATCAAATGAAATCAGGCCCTCAAAAGAGTCAGAGCCTGGAGCCGGCAGGGACTCTATTCAGTTTTGCCTTTAAAAGGATATTTTGCACAGGGGAAACTGAGGGAGGGAGATCGAGTTGCCCAAGGCTACCTTGAGCATCTGTGTTTTAGAACCAGGAATCATACCCGCAATGCATGGCTCCCACCAGGACAAGTGCATGAGATTTCTGTGTCTGGTTAAACGAGCATGAAAAGGACTGTTGTGGCCTTTGAAGCTGCCAGGACAATTTAAGCAGGCAGGAAGCTTCAAATTCATCTGCTTTATAACCTTGATAAGTCAATGACATTTCATCAGGACTAGTCAAATTAGTTGGCTAACCTGTGGCAGGTGGTTGATGAGGTAAGGGAGCTCAAAGAAAGAGAGACAAGTGTCCTAACACCTAGGGACAGGCAAGGAATATTCATTATGGCCCTATTTCATTTATGCATTTCAGACAGAGAGAGCCCATTTTTGCAAACAGTTTTTGACTGGCAGCAGTAAATGCATGCCCTGCAGAACATCTTTATGAAAACTGTAAATTAAACAAACATTATTCCGTCTAAAATAGGCAAAAGTGGAAATGAATGTTCAAATTAAATGTGCTTTTCACTAGAAGTTCACGCTGAATTCTAGCTATGGCTTTACTTAGCTAATTTTGGTCCCGGTGAAACATCGCCAAGCTTCCCTACCTCATCAACCACCTGCCACTGTTTAGCCAACTAGTTTGCCTGATTCGCTGATAAAAGGTATGAGCTATTCACCATCCTTTGCATTTGGTGGTGCTGAATGTTTGGAAAGCTGGTACGAGGCTTTTTCTTTTAAACGCACCAGGTAATACTGGAATGGGGGAAGAGCAGAAGGATCCCCCCTGAATGCTTTATATATGTGT